ATATATTTTAAGAAATTACATAGATATGGCTTTGTGAGTTTTGTTTAGTTATAAAATATTAGGGGAATCACCTCAATCAAGTGGTCAAATGACACACTATCAAGAGCACTGTTAGCAGAATGAGGGAGTTTCCAAATAGTTTCCCAAATTAGGGCCCCTTAAGCTCAGCTTCTTCGGATAACTCACTACGCTGAGAAAGACAGAACAAAGCTGCTGCCTTTCAAATCCTTCCTGAAGTTGAGGATGGTTTCCAAGTTGGAGAACTAGGCTTTAGGCTGCATGCAAATTAAATTAATATAAATGGAAGTACTGAGCTGTCAACAATGCATGTAATTAGCAGGTGCCAATGGTGAAAGCAAAGTTTGCTGCAGATACCACATCATATATCCAAGGATAAATGGGAGACAACTGTAGTCTAATTTATTTAAAGTATCATATTCTTTCAGTTTAATTTTCTGCACAAAAAGAAGGGATGGTAGAACATTTTTCAAGGTAATAAAATAGACTTACCCCCCCCAATATTTTAGCTAGCTTTATTGCATGTTTAAGTATTTATTAATTTGTTTAATAAACATGCAACTTTTTATGAGCAAACTTCTTTAATATTTCTCTAACTGGAAGGCACAGATTGCAAAGAAAATAAGAAAAGATTTTTTAATAATAAAAGAATCTGATTTAGAAGCAAAAATAAACTAATTTCAAAGCATAGTTATATTTCTCACATATACCAACAGTGGCAGCAGACAACATAGGAACAGAAAATAGAACATGTATAAGCTTCAAGTAAAAATTAAGTGCCTACAGGAAAAATTCTTTTTATTTTAAAACACTTATTATGAAACTAAGATTGTAGAAAGTCAACTGCATTTAAATTTATTAAAAATGTAATTACCTTTCTTTTTCTTTAAAAAATTCATTACTAATACCAAGAAGAAACTGTTATCATGAATAAGGAAAACACCAAAAGTGTTGCTGCCTGTTTTAATAGAGTAAATCTTGCAAAGCTGTCTTTGCAAAGTGGTTATGATATATAAATGAATGCTTTTCCACATAACAATCTGACCTCTGAGTTACTGTGTATCATGATAGGAGCGCTGGCCAGTGGCTAAGAATCAGGCTTACCAAAAGGTCAGCAGTTCAACCCAATTTGTCTCTATGTGAAAAAAAACATGTGGCAGTTCACTTTCACAAAGATTACAGCCAAGAAATGCTATAGGGCAATGCATTATGTGACATGGGTTCACTAAGAGAATGGACTCAATAGCAATGTTCATGGTCTCTAACATTCACATCATTCTTTACTATTTAATCTGTAATGGGCTTTCGAAAAAGTTAACCCAGTATGTACACAAATATTTACACCAAAAAACTGTTACGTTTTGTATACGTGTATTTTTATATATACATATATATAAAATACTCAATGAGCCAGATTACAGGAATGCTTTATGTAGAATTCTTTTTATTTTCATGCAAAATAAAGGCACACTTAATAAACACCCTTCCAATTTTGACTTACAGTATTTAAATTCAACCCTTTATAACAATGACTTAATATCTAATGTTACATTAATATTCAGGATGCATAAAGGGTGGCAATAACTGCAGCAATCCTCAGAACAAGGTGCTACAAAGCTGCTTCTACATTCATCAAAAGACAAGAATGTCAAGGAATAGTTTAATTCACATGTTTTTACAGACATACAGCTAACCTAAAGAAAGACAGACAGATTTAGGAAAGCAGCTACATCTGCAGAAGAAGAAAACAACATGTTACAGACAGCTGTATATACACACAACATTTGACAAACACCACAGAAAACAAACTTTGGCATCAGTTATCAGGGTACAAAAACCTTGCATAAATCTTTCGGCAAGTGAAGTTTATAAGTATTATTCTGAGGTCCAAGCAGATTAAGTATTTGATGTTTCCAAGTGAAAAAATAAGTCTATACAATGATATAATTTTTTTAAAAGAAACAAACCCCAAACAAAAATCCTTGGAATTACATTTTAATTTTTTTAATATGGACATCCCTGATTCACATTTGGCAACTAAGGCTTTTGAAGGAAAAGTGCTAATAGATAGATAAATAAATAAATATTTCAGATTTATGATAGGAGCTGCTTCCACATTATTTGATAAAAAGCTGTTGAGACTGACCATTATTTTCAAATGAATGGAGTGTTCATTTTATGAATTTTCTAACCTGGTCAGGCATTAGTTAGACTTATCATGTAGACCTGCCTGTGTTAGCTGCTGAGACAGGAACTAAAAAGCAAAAGAAATTCCCCACATGCATTACGTGTACTGCTAGGAATACAGGGAGGTGTGCCCCAGTCCATTTGAGGCACAGCAAGTTGCATAACATCATTACCACTTTGCAGGGTCTGTCGTCCTCCAGCCAACACTCCACTAGGCAACATCCCTGTGGGAGTCAGGCCCTTGAGTGTCAGCACACTTTCACTCTCCTCCCTGTGGCAGGGAAATATAATAAACATACAATATCTTCAGTAAACATTTACTTTAAAAGGCTACATATATATGTTACTGTTGTTGTTATGTGCCATCGCGGCGCATAGCGACCCTATGTACAACAGCCCTAAACTCTGCTCTGTCCTGTGCCAATCGCACTGTCTTTGACACTCCCATCCCAATTACCCCAGTCACTGAATCAATCCACCTCATAGAGGGTCTTCCCCTACTGCACTGTCCCTCCATCCTCCCAAGCATGATGTCCTTCTCCGAGGACCAGTCTCTCCTTACAACATATCCAAAGTATGTTAGATGGAGCCTCAGAATCCTTGCCTCAAAGGAGTAGCCTGGTTTAACCCTCTCCAGGATGAATCTGTTTCTCCAGGACCAAAGCTCAAAGGCATCAATTCTCCTTCTATCTTCCCTAGTCATTGTCCAACTCTCTGACGCATAACAAGTGATTGCAAAG